CCCTCTCCCCCCTCTCCCTCTCCCTCTCCCTCTCCCTCTCCCTCTCTCTCAATTTTTATCATCCTGTACCATTCAGTTCGAATAGCAATAATGTTAATTTAACAAAAGCCATTAAAGTTTTCTTAGTATTGTCTCGTTTGTCACCGGCGAAAACAGAGATAGATGGAACTACTTTACATAGCGAGTTCGCGAAGTGTTCGGGAAGAGGATACGATTACGGGAGCGCCGAATATCCTCAAAGTATTTCGCTATACACGCAATACAACAACTGAAGCTCGTATAATTTGTGAAATTTTCAAGCCGCCGTCAGTTCTTTATAAACGATAAGCCGTTTTTGTTTGCCTCACAATCGCCGGCGGGCTCCATATGAGCGTGCGAAAAACAAGTTTGCAAATCGGCCCTTTTATCCGGAACTCGTGCAGCAGATTTGTTCACCTTCGTCCATTCAAATCGTTCCCCCTTCCTCGCGATACTAGCGCATACGCGATCGAGAGATAGCGAGGGATCATCCGCCGCTTGTTATCCCGGATATAAAACTGTTTTCCTTTTTCTTTCACACTCAACATTTCCGCGATAAAATAGCACGTCCCCTTTTCCTTTATTGACTATCCTTCATCTTGGCGTTCAACTTTTGGAATTTCAAACAGCGTTCGGTCGTCTGGGAAATCGTCCGCGATTATTATCGAGCGTTGAATATATCGCCGAGGCCGCTACCTTTTTCGAGTTAATCAAAGTATTTATTCTTTCGATAAGAACGATGCACCTAACGGAATGAATGGAAAAACTTATAAAATACTGATTAAAATTGTTCTAATTTCATTTATCGTACAAAGTTATTACACGTTATTATGTTATATTTATGTTTTTGGCGGTGTTTATAGACATTCGATAAAGTTAGATTGTTATGATAAAGTAAACCAAAATCATGTTTTAAAAATAATCGTCTATAATTAAAAAATGAACAAAATTATTATTATTATTATTCACTTTGCTAGCAATGAATATCATATTCTACATCTCATTTTGGTTATCGTTTATAATTACAATCAAATGAATATAAATAATTATACGTTGTAATTTTCGGTTAAACTTTTTGTTGATCACCGAAAAACAATATGGCGAACTGTTAGAAATGTATAGTATATACTTCACTTGCTATTCTACATTTATAGCTAATTATTTTTGTAAAAGCATTTTTTTTATGAGAGCCGTAAAGTTTGTCAATTTGGTACAATCAGTAGAAATGATCTGTTCAAAAGAAATCAGAATTGATACAAATCAATTTTGACAAAGTTTAAATTTAGATAAAGTGCATACGAGAATACTGAACATGCATTATGATTGACACAAGTTAAGAAATTTAGCTGTTTAAATGTACGAAGAAGATTTTGTGAGAGTACTTTGAAATATCGGAAACGATTTTTATTTTCTTTTTTAACGTTACGCAGTCAATTATTTCGGTAATTGATCACGAAATTAATCATATTATAAGGCGTTAACACGATGGGCGTAGTGGGCATTTCCAAAAGGAGGGATTAAATCGTGTAAAATGCACGCACACACGCACACACGTATATGTTTTCCCAGGAATCCGTTGATATAATTGTAATTATCATTTTGTCGGAAAATATAAAACAATCGGCTGTGTAGTAAATCTCAAACTATTTTTTATAAAGATTCGTTTCAACAGGTACCATTTGAATCAAACTTTTCAATACATCAGAAAAGATATCTGATTGATAAAAGGGTTTCTGGGGGATCAAATTAATCTACCGTAATTAAATTATTTTATCTTGAACTAATCGAAGAAGTAGCGATGTATCGCAATATAGACAGACTATTCTGCATTACGTGTTTTCAGTATTTACGCAAAAATAGAATATACACCACATCGATATTTAATCGTATTCAACATCATTTAATATAAACTATTATTTTAAACATTTTTTCAAACATATCTTGCAAACTTTTATTTAAGCTGCATTAACCGTGATACCGAGTTTTTACACAGAAGAAGAAGAAGAAACTCAATGCACTTATTATCAGTAGTGAAACAGCTTCTGAATGAAATTAACTGATACTCATTATCAACGGTATGTATAATCTTCCAAGATTCTATTAATCGGTCTAATCAGGAACACGCAAGAATTTATGCCTATCTCACACCAGCTTCCTTTATCAGTGACGAATCGGTGGTATATCGTTGCCAGTTTTCCACCATCTAATACATTGCAGTTCTCTAATACATCCGAGTCAGAATTTTGTGAAACGTGTGTACTCATCAACGCGCGAGTATATCTATACGTGTATCGTATATCGATCGTTTAGTGAAAGTCGAAAGGCAGCTCGTCGAGTGAACGTTTTCGCCATCGTCGATGCCTTACGTATACATCGAAATCCATACAGTTGCGCGAGAGCGAGAACGCCTGCCTACCCGTGGGCTGGATTCGATATCTCGACGTGCTTTTAATATCGCATTATCGTGAATCGCGTCTGGATCGACAATGGAAACAATTGCAGTGGGATGATCAAATTATTAGAGCCACAGTACGAAAAATATCGTTTCTTTTTGTATTTGCGTAGAAATAACATCACAACCTCCAAGATTGAGATACTTTTTATCTAACGATTGATCACTGTAGATTGATCATTGTAATTATAAAAGATACAGTTAGAATCGTAAAATCGTCGATGTAAGCAGGTGGACTCTAATAATTTGGATCACCTACCGTACTTCTGAGGCACGAGTGACCGCAGTAATGATTCGTCTCACCTGCTTGGAGATCGCTTTGGTTGTGGTCACGTGTTACTAAGTGGAACCGGAATTCAGCTCCTGATAATGAGCCCTCCCGATTATCTCGATATCTGACGTTGTGTAGTTGTCTAACCGTCACGAAGTTGCTCAGACGATCACGATCGCGGTTTTAAAGACAACCAAGGCCTTTGGCGCTACGTCGAACCAGCGTCCAACCACTGCCGAAACGTTTCTAGTTGATCTTCTCGCAGAGAGCAACCATGACACACGTGAAGGAGAGCTCTGCCAAGGTAAGCGCGATCGTCGCGTTCTATTTGCCCATTCGCCGCTGGCCAGGAGAATGTCCGAACGCAACGTGGACACGCGAAATTCGTCCATTGGCAAACAATGGTCTGTCAGGTGTCGCGCATATGGACGCACTCCCACTGGGACGTTTCGATACGCCGTGATAGGGATATCGTGCATCGGGTTAAAATCCTGTCCGGTAAAATCCCACCTTTTCGTGATCAAAATGGGCAGTGCTTGTATTTCGTAATGGAAAGTTATTACGACGTGGATGCTAAGATCCATAAAGAGACACTTTTACCAAGGGACCCAGCAACACCTAATTAACTGTGACCATTTAGTGTAACTTAAAAACATTTGAACTACTTTTATGTTTTTTGCGAGCCTAATAGTTGAATTATCACAAAACGTATAAAATGTGTTTCTCATTATGATAGCTTTACCATACTAGACAGTTCTTTCGCTGATATTAGATAATATAACTTTTAATTTCACGAATCAGGTCCCTATGTTTACTGTCTCCCTTACCTTCTATGATGTATAGTAATTTGAAAATTGTTTACGTGCGACGAAATGCAAATAAGGGTGGGTCAAAATTTATGATACAAATGAGGTTAGGGAGATGGTACGGCTTAAAATAATACAAAAATTAATAAACAAAGAAGTTTGAAAATGTGCTGGATACGCGTGCAATTGAATAGGACTTGGATAGCGCGTCTGTTTATTACATTCCGTTTTTACTTACTGCCATGACGAATACACGAGTTTCAGATTAATTTTCAAAATCGATTTTTTCGCAAACAAAGCCTCTATAACGCAATTTTATTATTCTTAATTTTTGTCTTATTTTGAGCCGTACTAACTTCCTAAATTCATTTGTACCATGATTTTTGCTCACCCTCTATGTACTCATTAATTTGCAATTAATATACAAATTATAACGATGAATTTCAGTAGTAGTAAATTATCAGAATGAAATATTTTAATGTGATGAAAATGTTTAAATTTGTTTTTAATTACAAGGAAATGTGTGTACCTATGTCAGTGCAAGTAGTTAGAAATATACAACCGGTTAAATGTTGAAATAATTATTGGAAGCACCGATTATTATTAATCTGCTATCTTTAATCACTTACACTACGTGTGGTTCACATTACACAATGGATATGTTCATCCTCTTTTCAGTAAATATTAGGTACCAATAAATAATTCACCACTTACTTCCTTTCCAGGGAAAAATTCTGTACTACTTTGAAGAATGTTATTAAATATTGTTAAGATAATCGAAGATTTTAATTGTGTAATGTGAACTTGAATCTAGTGGCAGTATTTAGTGGGACGAAGTTGGTAGCCCTGTCAGGAGATCAGCGTCATTTATTAATTCGCTCGCTACTACCCACATAGCATATGACGCCTTAAAGACGCCCATTTTACGGCTATTTTAGGTCTAACGCGCCTTTAAGCCGTCTTCAACGCGCTATTCGGCGTCATGTGCTATATAGGTAGAGATGACGTAAACTGCTACTTGTAAGTCACGAATGATTCAATCTCACATTCGTTCCCAATCGGGGTGATTTTTTACAGTGAATCGTTATTTTTCATAATCGCTTCTAATTTGTGGAGAATATAACAACAGTTCTTTGCACGCGTCACATAACCTGTATATTTTATATTAATTACATAAAAACAAAAATACTAGTCACATCGTATAAAGTGAAGGAATAATGAGGAACAATGAAGAATAATGAATAAATCAATGATTATAAATTCTAAGCAACAATATATGTTGTATAATTATAGCAAATCATGCTTTTATAATTTCTTTTTTCTACTGATTTTTCAAAACGCAAACATTAATATAATTCATTTTCAAATCATATTGAATATGTGTTTCTTTAAAGATCAAGAATAATTATACAAGATACTCGCTCGAGAGATTACAGACGCTCCCAAGACAAATTTATAAGTAGACTCCGGATGTTTAAGCACGATAAGTATGTAAAAAACACATGCGATTTATTCACGAAAAATATGCAAATATGCAGGAAAATATGCAAATTTGCATGGAAAATATACAACATGAACAATACATTTTGCGATTATTGTGACATATTTTAATTCGAGTTACAGTAAATGACATGCATTTTTTCCAAATGTTCAGCATCAAACAATGCCGCTTCAATCCACGTAGGTACCCCATCTAGTTAAAATAGATTCCGGTGACAGAAGAGTATCTTTTAAGATTCTTCGGTACGTTTCAATACGAAGCGATGCTTTAACAAAAACCTTGTTTATTGATGATATTAATTTATTCAGTAGTGGAAAGTGAAGATGTACTTCCTTCGAAATTCTGTATAAGCCATGCACTATACATGTAATGTGTACCATATTTTCGTAAAATAATTTTAGTTTTTTTCCTGCTTTGATCATATATGATGCTGTATCTGTGACCAGTAAAATAATTCTTTCCTCACTACCATTCCGTAGTAAATATTTGCAGGACTCAATTCACAAACCGAATATGGTCACATGATTTATTACTTCTAGTTGCTTCGAACACAATAAGTGCGGTTTCGTTATTTGATCTTTGCAAAGTTTTCCTACCACTAAATTTGGAATGTACTGGCCTGTTACAATACTGGTTTCATTCACAGAAATCCACATACAATGGTCGGCAATGTCTTCCCTAATATTTTGAATACTTGAATCATAGCAATTGTCCAAGTAATTTTTTCGTAGTGTCGATTCATCCCAAACAGTGCGGTCTGTATATTTCGTCAGGAAATTCTTCTACACATCGTTATTTAAGACACGCCACGGCATAATAACAACAACCATTTCTCGTGTTACGTAAAATTCATTTTTTTTAACTTGTTTGTAGCTGCTCAGAAGTATCCTTTTTGCAAGTATTAGCTACTTACAAATTAGGACCAATAACAATTTTTTCCTTTTTGAATAACATTAAATGTTATGACGAGACGCACCATTTTTTTAAATGTAAAAACTAAAATCGTGGTTGGTTGTAAGTACAAAGAATAGTACTACATATGTAATCTTTCGGGCGAGTATCACGTATAATTACGATCGAACTTCACTATAGTTAAGTTCATTTAATCGTTAAATTAAAGGGTACACTAATAAGTTCATATAACACGTCGATAAAACATTCTATACAATAGTAAAAACTAGAAAGTACTACACAAAATCAGTTGATTACGTAACTCAATACACTCGTGATTATTGGTGCACAACTAGTAGCGAGCATTTGAAAAATTCGTCAAATGTAAACACAAAATAACAATACTTGATTTAGGAGAACTTAAACTTTTCCTCTACTCATTTTCAGTGCACCAACCAATTGAACAAACAATTTCATCACGGCTGCCCCCCCCCCCTGCACGAAACGATAACAATTCCACGTTCCGCAATCATAGACGCGTGTGACTGGCGATTTCAGACGTTCCGCGTGAAAAACGAAGGACTCGGCTGAAAAAATTACGGCTCGAGAACGTTATAATTGAGTACGCGTGCAACCATGCACCCGACAGAACAATGGCCACAATCTTGCGCGTAAAAGAACAGCGTTCGGTAGATCTTATCTGGCCGCGGTTTGTAGCGCGACTAGATTAAACTACCAATGTTCGTACCATTAGACTTTAGAGATAATTTCGCTCGATCTCGAGCGTTTCCTTTAATCTCGTTACGTAAATACCTTCAGCGGTCCACCAGCGGCGCGTTTACATACCCACAGTCCGCATTACGGCAACCCGTCTGTATTGTCTCCTAGGCCCTCCTTCCTTCCTTCCTTCCTTCCTTCCTTCCTACACTCCTGTTCTTCAGTCTGTCTGGGGCTACCCCCAGTTTCCCTTCTCCGTGATTTTCGGGGGTTTCTTACCATTCGCAGGCCGGCCTGATAATTTATAATATGATGCAAATATGATGGTAGACCATGTTATTGACAGGCGAAGAAGGTTTCTCTCGGGGTCGGCGGTGCCTTGGTGGAGCTGCCGCAGGATGTAGAACGGGGCAACTGGGCCAACCCTATCGAGTTTATTCTATCCTGCATTGGGTATGCCATTGGCATTGGCAATGTTTGGCGTTTCCCTTACCTTGTATATCGTAATGGCGGTGGTACGTATATGTGTTCATGACCTGCAACCGGTGAATGTACACGGGTAGTACACTGTACATACACAGCACCCGCGCAAACGGGGCACTCCTGCAACGAGAAAAACGTCAAGTTCGCTAAACAGACAGTCACGGGCTGGCAAACGAACCTACCGGATTACGCGGAATGATTTATTCTCGTCCGCGGACGTTTTCATGAAAACAGAAAAAAAGGAACTAAAAAGAGAGAGAGGAGAGAGAGAGAGAGAGAGAGAGAGAGAGAGAGAGAGAGAGAGAGAGAGAACGAGAGAGGGAGGGCGGGTAGGGCGAGAGCGAAGCGAATATACGCGAGAAGTACACACGCGAATCTCGCGCGCGAGCGTGGTCGACGTGACGAAACGGTTAATTCGAATAATTAAGCGTAGTTTGGCAGCTTGTGACCGAGCGTTCGGGAAATTTAATAAATTTTTCCTGGCTGCATGTGCGGTTATGCCTATTGATGCCAGCCTGACCGGAGGGCGGGGGATATTTGCGAAACGTCGAAAGAGAGGTGACTCATACTCTGAGCGCTTGGCTTTTAATTATTCTATTTTACCTTCCTGCTTCACGTTTTATTCTTTCTATTTACGCGGGCCGAGACTTCATTGTTTCGCCGGCCGGCCGGCCTCTAATGAAAGATTGGGAACGAAAAGAATGCGCGCGCGTGGGGGGGGGGGGTGTTTTAACCTTTGCATTGTGAGCCCACATTTCACCGCATTAATCAGACACAGAGGTCTGATAAATTTCAATTATTCCGTGACACAAACGCGTGGAACGTTGAGCAAGTTGAACGTGTATAATTACTTATTGCGGTTTGTTGCGAGTGACCGTTAACGGCCGTTTATCGAATTCAAGTATGTTTTTCCGTTCTCGAAATGTTTTCCTTATCAATGCCGGATATTTCGGACACTTGATTACAATTTGTACGATACTCTGGATGTCTTGAATGTAAATAACAGGAAACATCACAGTTATGATTAATATTTATGATGTTAGCTATGATTCAGCACTTGGCACATATATATGAATAATTTGATATTCAAGCTGATAAAAATAGTTTTGGTAATCAACAATTTTTGGAATGGAATTTGAGTATTTTTTGTTAAATTTTAATAAAATCTTAAAAATGATAAATATATGAAATATACACAGAGATAGGACTGAAAATCTCGAAATGGAAAAATGTTTGAATATTAATTAAGAAACCAAAGCTTGATTCTGACTATTTGTTAGAAATGAAAATTCTTCAAAGGAATAACTACCTACACAGTCAGAATATAATTAAACAAAACTTGTTGAAAAACAGTTTGATAATGGATGTAATCAATGTGTGGACATACGAAGTCTGTTCAGAAAATAACCGAACTTTTTCTTCAAAAAATTTTATTGAATACTTATAGCAATATACATTTTAATCTCCTTCAAAGTACTCCCCTTTCCGTTGTGTACACTTTTCCCAACGCCCCTTCCATTCCGTGAAGTAGCTCTGAAACGTAATTTTTGAAATAGGTTTCAGGGCATTCTGCGAAATTTTTTATTATGGATTCTATTGTTTCAAATCTCTGTCCTTTTACTGGACATTTTAGTTTTGGAAATAAGAAAAAATCTGCAGGAGCTAGGTCGGAGGAGTACGATTGGTGAGGGATGACACTCAGCGAATTTTTGCATAAAATTCGCCAATTAGCAGCGACGAATGAGTCGGTGCATTGTCATGGTGAAGGAACCATGAGTGGTCACGCCAAAGTTCAGATCTCTTTCTCCTCACATTTTCGCGGAGACATCTAATGACTTCTAGGTAATAGTGGCGGTTGATTGTTTGCTCTTCAGGTAGAAACTCAGAGTGAACAACGTGTTTGATATCAAAAAAGACTGTCAACATCACCTTTGTGTTTGAACGACTTTGGCGTGCCATTTTCGGTTTCGGTGACGACTTCCCGACCCACTGCGATGACTGAGACTTTGTTTACACGTTATATCCGTGCACCCATGTCTCATCGCCTGTTATTATCCTCGACAAGAAGGTGTCATCGTCGTTGGCACGATTTAGAAGTTCTTGACAGACCGCTACACGATTGTCTTTCTGCACTTGCGTCAAGGGTTTCGGAATGAATGTAGCGGCAACACGATGCATTCCTAATTGTTCGATTAGAATTTCGTGACATGAATCCACTAAAATCCCAGTCTCTTCTACTAGCTCACGAACTGTTAATCGTCGATTTGACGTCACCAAATCGTTCACTTCGGCAATCTGAGACGTGTCCGTTGATGTCGATGGCCTTCTTGAACGAGTGTCATCTTTGACAGATTCTCAGCCACTTTTAAAACGCCTGAACCCTTTATAACATTGTGGGCGGCTCAGAGCGTACTCCTCGTAAGCCTCTTGAATAATTTTATGTGTTTTGGTAAATTTTTTGCCGAATTTAACACAAAATTTCACTGCAATTCTTTGTTCGTCTAAGTCACTCATTGCAAAATCGCCGAAGGAACCAAACAACACCTGCTTCGAATGAACACTACGCAGAAAGTAACCGTAGACAGACGCAGGTGGTGGGGGATTGTTCGTCAGATTCTACGCTACGCAGTGATGTTAATCGTAAATCAGAAAATATTCTTATACGCAACAGAGAAAAAAAGTTCTGTTATTTTTTTAACAGACCTCGTATTTCTGTATATATATTTTAGAAGTATATGTTGGATGGAAGCGACTTTTTTCGTTTGGAGTTTGTTTAAAAGATGCCTTTGTCGTGAAAAGAAATTTGATTTAGATTATGTTATTAATTCATATTCATGGCAGTATCTAATATAAAACAGATATTGCTGTAAATATAATATTTTTGAGTATATAACAATTGTGTTGTATTTTAAATATTGTATTATTGTAAACATAACACTAAAATTTTAAGTCAACTGAATATGCTTTGAGCAACTGTAGATGCACTTTGTGAAGGTTGATATTATGGAAATGTATATATCGATACAGATACCTGTTGATTGTAGATCTTATTAAGAATTTTTAATTCATATTTTTTTTGTGCAAAATAAATTCATTCTTACCAGCCATATTAGATTACATTTACATTTACTGTTATTATTATATTATGATTATTATGTTAAAATTAACGTAGTTCTGCAATATAAGAAGAAAATTGAACAATTGCTCCTTTAGTAGGTCTCAAATGATTGAAGTTCAATGAATGATTTTTATAGCTATTCAAATCCAACCTCATGTTTTTCCAATGTTTATTTCTAGGTGCTTTTTTAATACCTTTCACTCTAATGTTAATAACAATGGGACTGCCAATATTTTTCCTGGAGCTTGCGATCGGACAATACTCCGGTCTCGGCCCTAATGAAGCTTTCACACGCATGGCACCGGCGTTTCAAGGCCTCGGCTGTAGCACCCTCGTCGTCATTTCGTTCGTGACAATCTACTACATGGTCATCGTATCGTGGACTCTTTTTTATACCTTCGTCTCGTTTATGCCGAAACTGAAATGGGCGTACTGCGACAACGATTTCAACACGAACAGTAAGTACGGCGCTGAAGCCTTTTTCGATTCCTTTTTGGTTCTTAAGACATCCAACGATCTCCTCTTGCTCGTATACGCGTCTAGTAACGTACGGCATGTTACTATGTCACATGTACAGTTTATACTCGGCTATAAAATTCTACGTGGTCGTAGAACTGTTTTAAACGATTGAACCATGAGTGGCGCATGTCCTCAAAATTGAATTTTATTACTCGAAGAACAAGTAAATACCGAATGGAGAATATACGTATTTACGAGTTTCTTTGTTCATGATATTTCTTGAATCTTTGTGTTGCTTGCAGATTTTATTCAGCGGAGATGTAAACAACTCCCATCACACATGGGGCAAATTTAGTGAATAATCATTTTAGAATAGTAATAATAAAATTGGTTATTATTTAGAAATTTGACTTTCTCATTGATTTTAATGATCTTGGCATATATTGCCAAGGTCAACATTCTGAACAACTTTTTCCTTTACATGTTACTGCCGCTCGGCTTTAGTTTTGGAGATATTAACAAAAATATATTCGTTACTATATGTAGTGCGGTAAATATGCTGTTGGAGAGACCCATCTCCAATGTCCCTGACCATGACATACGTTGCTACGGTCAACCTCCTGAGTGATCTTTAGAAGATTTCCGTCATCAAACGTTCATTAATACAAAGTCATTAAGAGAACAATGATACCTTTTTTTTAGAATTGTCTCTAACCAACTCTGAAGCATTATACTAATCGGAGTTGGTTAGAGCCAGTCAAAAAAACAGTCACCCAGAGTTTGTTAGAGACAGTTCAAGAAAAAAAAGTAATTCAAAGTCTGTTTAATCTGGCCGCCGCACAGTTGGCCAAATGACCATTTTAACTGGAAAAAAATAATTGGTAAACTAATGAAGATACAAAAAAATTATGTCTACGAAAGTTTTTTAATACAGAGGGGCACGTTACACAGTGTACACAGTTTTTTTGAAAGTGCAATGGTATGAAAAATTGTAAGGTCACCTTAATGTTTTAATATGGACTAACATACTTATTTATTAATAATATGATAGTCCATATTAAAATATGTATTTCCATTTCACAGAAGGTTGTAAATTAACGAGAACTGAAAAACTTAAATTGACGCGACTTTCGTTGTACAATGTCATTTTGTATAACGTACACGTTTGTTTGAGCGTTGCCAAGCAATGCTACAGTGGGCCATTTCATAAAATTGGTGGAACGTATTATAAAGAATAAAGTTTTCGATGTTTATAAAAAAAAAGTATTTCAATTACGAAATGATTTTTTAAAACAAAACATTGTCTCACGATAGTAGCTGCGAACTGCTGCAGTTAAATTTTGGATTAATATCAACAGTAATGTTTACTGAACGTAATACTGGAAAAATTTTGACAAACCTACATATATCAAAAAAGTTACATTTTCAATCTCGTTCGATATATGTATACAAAAATCGAATATCTTTTTAATGTGATAATGTAATAGTGAATACGACTTTAACAGGAATTAAAAATCCAAACGTTTTTGAGAAAAGTAAATAAATATCTTTGCTACAAGAATCCGTTACTATTGGATATAATATTCGCTTAGAAACAGAACGTGGCCTGAACACTCGAGATGTGAAAAAGACTAACTGATACATTGCCTGATGGGGTAGACGACTAGCTACTGTTCATAAAACAAATACAATCATATGCAACGTCTTTGAGGTCCGTAGTCTGTTCATTGTTTTTCAAGCAAGTATAAGCTTACAAATAGTCCTAATTTTACTGTATTTCATGACATGAAAATTTGTTGATTAAAATTTTTTGATAAATTTCTACCAATTTTATGGTAATGGCCCACTGTGATTTTTTCATATAATGTATAAACAATGTTTCTGTGAATATTTCTAAAACAAAGCCGAACAGCGGTAACATGTATAGGTAAAAGTTGTTCAGAATGATGACCTTGACAATATATTTCAGGGTCTTCGAAATCGGTGAGGAAAATCAAACTTCCAAATAATTACCATAAAATTTCTGCAGTACAATAACTATTGAATTTTAATATTAAAGAAGAATATTTAGTAAATTTAAACAATTAATTAGAAATCATTTATAGCTTAAAGCAGCATCTACATATACAAATCAAACACAATCATCGTAGTGGTAATTACGATGAATCATAGTGTTTCCTGTTCTATTCAATTGCAATGATTTCAATGGGCAATTGCAATTGTAATGTAAAATTAGAGAAACACAAGAAATCAAATCAAATTCAATGCCGCAAGTTTGCTTTCCTTCCGATTCCTTTTTATTTTTCAGAAACGCAATATGGTATAATGAAATGAATAAATTTTTCAACGATCGTTTAGCATACGGTAGAACAACCATCGAGATTATTATTTCATATTAATTCATTATTATTATCAAGTTTATAAAGAAAATAAACGAGTTCGGAGTTCGATTTCATTGCGATTTACTGCGACGCTCTGTCTTGCTGTGGCGTTTTATCTCACGACGATATGATCAACGTACTAATGAAAAATTCAGTAAAGATATGTTTGACAATTGCATGATGACTTACAATTGCACTAAAGAATAGTATTTCTGCAATATCTTTCACGCTTCGGAAATTCTCCGTGATAGTGAAACATTTCGAAGAAATGGTTGAAACATAACAACTTCTTGCACCATGAACAACGAATAACAGCAGGTGCTCCGCAGATGGAATAAGTAGGTGGGTGTGTCCTGTCTTGATTCGTGAATGCAAAATTCACAGGTTGTTCAAAAGTTTGTTTGTTGGATACATATCCACTTTTATACCATGCATATCTAAATAAATTACTGTATCTTGGTGCAGATAATTGATTATGGGTTAGCGATTGTAATTTTATTATATTATTACGCAAATGCAAGGCAATATCTATATTTAAAATAAGCACGAGATTTGAAAATCGTCTTACGAATCCTTTCCACACACGAAATCCATATACATCAAGCGGTTGAATCATGCCTGTAGTCTTTTTCGAAATAGTAAATATGTCAATACCTTTATTAGGTGGTGCAATTTGCTTCAATGAAGCTGAGCAGTGTCCAGTCTAAGAATCCAACAGTAGAGCACTTTTAATATTCGTATTGGATATAAATACGTTCGTAAACCACTCATAAAATAATGTTGTGCTTAATTTTCCTGACGATAATGACATTAGATATGTATTTGGAGGTTTAAACAATGTTTGTTTCACCTGAGGCCCAAAAGTTCCACCAGGTTCCTTCAGTACGATTGAAAGGGGAGACATGAGTTTTCCTGCCGCAGAAATTACGGGCGGCATAGTATAGCTATGTGGCATTGCCGAAATTGACTGAACAAATGCTTCAACTGTTCTTACGCCTTGAAACGCTAATCTACGACCAGAATGCATTTCGAGATCAAAACTGTTTTCATCAACATTATAAACGTGTTCCAGGCCATGAATTTCAATTACACGTTTAATATTGTCTATGAAACCTGTAACACTTTTTTGCAAAGCAGAAACGTCCCCCTTGTAGGAACGAGTAATAAAATTATTCACTTTTCTCGATCCTTTGAAATTGTTCAATAAAACCTCTGCATTTGCTTCTAATGCCCAATTTCGCAAGTTTATATCCTGAATTTCAACGTTCGCATATGTAACTACATACTCAGAACTGATTAAAAACTTAACGTGCTATATGTAGTAGTTTTTACCTTCGATTTCCTCCCTTTTCCAAAGATTGCTCCCATCTGTGTAAGACTTATTGATTTTACTTTTCTAACCCTGTGTTTTACAGTCTCCAGTGTTGGACGCTTTCTTTTACCACTTTTCCAGAAGGCTACAAGTTTTTCTTTATATTCCAAGTCCACGAGTCCACCTTCATGGGGTACACACTCTTCTTCTTTCCGAGGATCCAACTCCGTTGCATCAAGTAGATCGTCTGATGAGAGTTCTCTTTCATCAATAAAGTCTTCTGAATGTGGTCGAAATGGTCGAAATGAAAGATCCTGCTTCGACACTTTTTCTAATAATGTCCTCTACGACATCATCTAATTCCACCTCCCACTGGTTTACAATAGACGGATTTATATTCATAACGTTAAACGTTACCATAGGTCAGGCCTGGCCAAACATTTTCCAGGAGGTGCGCGCGAATGCCGACTGTCCCCACTTTCAGCACTCCCGAAGTCCCTACTCATTGGATCTTGTTGGATCTTGGCAACACACCTTGACATAGTGACTATGTGTTAGAAATGGGCAGTCACGGCATGCGCGCGCACCTCCTGCCCGAGGATGACAACACAACGCAAGCGAGTGCCCTAGTAGCATTGATGGTTGGCCAACTTTGGCGAACGGTTGGGAGTTAGTTGGGATGGTTAGTGTTTTGCCTACAAATTCCCAACATAGGGCCTACGACGAAAAGTTATGACAATTTGCCAACGAATAGCCAACGTTGGATATTCGTAATATATATATATACATATCCGAACTAACTCCCAACTGTTAAAACCTAAATACTCGCAATTTACATAAGTAGCATTTATGGTTGGCCAACGTTGGTCAACGGTTGGGACCTAGTTGGGATATGATTATTGTTTTTTCCTACAAATTCCCAACATAAGGCCTACGACGAAAACTTATGACAGTTAGTACAGTTAGTTAATTAACGTGAAATTTATAACGATAATACAATATTGGGCATGATGCCGCGTCGGCATTGCAACACTCGACTGACGGTATCGCTGACGCTCCAGACTATTTCAATGAGATTAAAAGCTATATCAAGTGTTACAATTTCACAAAGTTGTAATAAAATTGTCGATTGTCAATTCTGTTGTGAGTTCACGATTGCTACGAGGCCGAAGATTTTAAGCCATAAATAACCGAAAATTCCACTCCGGCCTCTACAAGGGTGGTCGGCCAGGGCCAAGCAGCGTCAACTTACACGTGTCGGTAAATTTTGTTCCCTGCTCCTCGACATAGACAATGTACATTGTAC